ACTGGGGATCAAACTCGGGTCCTTGTGCTTGCGAGGCAGGCGGTGGAACCGCTGAGCCAAATCCCCCCATCTAAGAACAATCTTGACAGGAATGAGATAAAGCAAGGGTGGTGACATAATTGCAGGGACCTGGGTGGAAAGATGTTCAGGAATAGAGACAAGATAAAACCAAGACAGAATCTCTGTCTTCTGCACATTTTAGCCCAGGGCCTGACACACTGCCACATGCCCGCTGAGTGGAGTTGGCCTGGCCTGGCTCTGCGTGGCCAACCTGAGATGATGCAGCACCCCATGGTGTCTTCTGAGGTAGTGGGAGTCCAAAGCCTGGCCACCTTGCTCGTTGTTTGCAGGAGATTTCATTATAGCCCAGTTCTGTAGAAGTTAACCATCCGGTTTTAGCGTGCACACGACAATGACTGCTGTGCACCTCTAGGCTGTGCATTTCCTGAGAGTGGGCCTGGCCTTCAGCAGCCTGTATTCCATGTAGGGTAGATTAGAGGGTGAAAGACCAAGGATTCTTATGACTTGATGTCATCGTCATCCAGGGGCATGAAACTCAGGCGCCCTGGGGTGGGGAGAGCTGGAATGGCGGGGCCGGACACAGGACAGATAGAAGTGCCTCCCTGAGTGATTTGAGTCAACACTGGGACTGGGCTGACTGCCATGCCCATGCCCTGTCTAAAGACTTTGAGCCTCACAGAAAAACTATTAACGTGTGAGCCCGCCTGGGACGGGTGAGCTTTCCCACCACTGGGATACGCAACTTGGAGAGGTTTGCTTTGGCTCACAGTTTCAGAGGCTCCAGTCTGTGGTAGAAAGGCCCAGTGGAGGAAGGCTCAGCCCAGAAAGCAGACAGCAAGAGAAGACTTTGAGTGGAGGGCTTCAGAGACCAGGTCCCAGTCTCCAAGATCATACCCCATGACCCACCCGCTGGAAGCATACTGTGTTAATCCCCTAGTGTCCCTAGCCAGTCGAGTTGACGTTCAAGACAACTGTCTCATTGCCAAAGAGCATGTCAGAGTCAAATGTCGCACATCAGATGCCAGTTGCACCTCAGGACTAGGAAGTCGTTGTGGTGGTGGTAGAAAAACTATTGTCATCCTCCCAAATGTCCATATCCTTCACCCCAAATCTATAAATCTGTAACCTCATTCGGCTAAGGGGACTTTGCAGCTGTTAAGGATCTGGAGGTACAGATTTCATAAATTAACATATACATACAGTATTTGGAGCAGTGTCAGTACATTATAAGCATTGAATCAGCATTAGCTTATTAAATCACTATTTGCCATTGGCAGAGAAAAGAACATCGGCCCAGCAGGGTTTACCTTGTCCAAGGTGAGTAGTTTCAGAGGAGACAGGACTAGGCCCAGATCCCCAAAACTCCTGAGATCCTCAGTGATTTGTCATTCCAATGTTACAATGTCATATTTTCACTGAATCTCATTTTTCAAATCAAAACAACTAATTATAGTACACGCCCTTCTAGAGGGCTTAGCTACACTTCAAATCTATGATTAACTTCAGTTCTCAGACCCTTGAGAGAGAAAGGAAAAATAAATGGAGGGCCTGATTTGACATCCTGTGAGTTTCACTATAAGACAGCCTAGTTAACAACACAGTTGTCTCTGGTCGTACATAGTCCTCTCACTCATAGTTTTGTTCTCTCCAAATGTGACCCATTAGGAAAACAAAAAGGCCAGCACAGAACCAGGAGACGTGCCTGGTAACAGAACCAAGTGGCCACTCATCAGATACCACTCAGGGAAGATGCTGCAGCCTCTTCTTAGCAGCAGGCTCCAAAATACTGGCCAGACCTCCCAAATGCAAGCCTTATTAGAGTTCGTCTACAGGGCTTGTTCGAAACATCCTGCCCTGGAACACTAGCACCATTGAAAGCCTGGTGTTGCCAGTGTTACTGGGTTCTGGGGTTCCGTAAACTTTCCATGTCCTTGGTGTCCTGAACAAAGAATTGGATAAGACACTCAAGAATGGTAGTGCGGTTTTTTAATCAAAGGTAAGAAAAGAAGTACACTCTGCAGAGTAAGAGCAAGGTTTATAGCTGAAGTCTTTTGTCTCCCCCATTCCTCAGACTGACATCAGATCTTGGTTGTCCTATCACAAACCTGCTTGATCTCATGCCAGAAGAATTGAAGATGATAGCACTTTCTGATTGGTCCCAAGTGCAGGACTTGGGAATGGTGCTCTGCACAGGTTTCCGCGGATTTCTGTGATTGACAGGGCCTGCCCATGTGCTCAGCTGGTTTGCCACACCCTAATCTCCTGCCTCTAAGCCATCCCACAAAGGTGGCCATGCATCCCCTATAAAAGAAACAAGTATTACTAGGGAGAATAAACTGAAAGATGAGAAAGTGCTTCTAAGAAGATAACTCAAAGAGGACTTGTAAACTGCATTCCTAACCTAAGACATCACGCTGCTCCATGGTAGAATCTCCAGCTTCCTCTTGCAATGTGAGAGTGTTATTTATACTGTGAGTTTTCCAGGTGTACAGCTGCCCTTTGTCATTGGAGATCAAGAATGCTTTAATTGAGTTGTAAATGAAAACAAAGTCTGTTTTCTCTACTCTCACACTCAACATAGCACACTTTTCTGGCTGGATGTGTAGGTTTCTCCCCACACACCCTGCGGTTCTCCAGAGACACTGACCAGGCGTCCCATGATTCAGTTAACCTGTGGGCTTAAGGGCTCAGTCCCACAGCATTACTGTTTGCAAGCAGGAGGTTGTCACCTGTACTCCTGAGTATCTGTCTATAAATCTGGGGTTCCAATAACCCTTGTGTGTGATGGATTTGCTGGGGTGGCTTAGGGAATCACTTTGCTTATTATCAGTTTATTATCAAGATATGGCAAAGGACACAGATAAAAAAGCTAGATAAAGAAGTGGGTAGAGAAAGGAAGAGGGAAGAATTTCCATACCTTCTGGGCATTCCACCCTCCCAGCACCTCCAGGTGTTCTGCAACCAGGAAACTCATCAAATTTAATTGTTCAAGCTGGACCTGATGGCGCAAGCCTGTAATTCTAGCACTCTGGGAGGCTAGGCAGGAGGATCATCAAGGCAAGCCCACGCTGGGTAGCTTAGCCACTTAGCAAGACCTTGTGTCAAAATAAAAAAATTAAGGGCCGGGGATATTTAGCTCAGTGGTTCTGCAACCTGCCTTGCAAGTGCAAGGACCTGAGTTCGATCCCTGGTACCAAAAGTAAATAAATAAAAATTAAAAAGTGGCTGGAGATGTTGATCAGGGCAAAGGCCCTGGGTTCAACTCCCAGTACCTCAAAAAAAGAAAGAAAGAAAGAAAGAAAGAAAGAAAGAAAGAAAGAAAGAAAGAAAGAAAAGAATCTGCATTAACAGGTGGTCCTGAATGTTCTGATAACCACAGCTCATGTCTAGCAGAAACACACATACTTTTGGGACCCCAGGGACTCAGGAAAGCAAAACACTTCTATAACTCAGGAAATTCCAAGGGTTCTGGGTACTCTGTGATAGGCACCAGAGACAAAGACCAAGTGTGTTTCATATTGTGCCACAGAGACATTTGGGAGAGAAAGGGAGTAATAAGCATCAAAATGTTCTTACAAACATAGTAAAATGACTTTAGAATAAAATTTCAAACCATTTCAAGGTGCTAACAGATTTTACAAATGACAACCATTAAATTTGAAGGAGTCGGAGACTTTGTGGACTTTATATTTTCGCTTGTCAACCTACATAAACTCAGAGAGAAATTCTCCAGAGAATAATGACATTTATGAAATGAAGGGTACATAAAATAAATTTTAAAACAAGAATCCTCAGTTTGCACAATCGTCTGTGAATCGTTCTTACTAGTGGGTGTACATGCATGACATCCCCTTCTTTGTGACATCCAGGCTTTATTTAATGTATTGATTTGTGGTTGGGATCTGACAAAGTGACTTCATTTGATTCTGGCAATTTTCTCACATTCTAGCATCTCCCTTCAGATTCCATGATGTAAACCCCTTTGCCAACTGAAGATAGGGGTTGGGGATATTTGGGAGAGGGTCGACAACTCCTACAACTCTGAGACCAAGCCTGTTTGCCCATGAGGTCCCAGTAGAGGACTGCAGATGCTTCACATTCCTTCCAGAATGTTCTCATTCACACACACCTCGCCCAGTGGATAAAACAGGAATGCTGAATAACTGCAGCAGGGTCATATTCATGCCCGGCCCACTTTTCGTACTGATTGTCCACGGAACCTTTCACACATGTACAGATACGTAGCTCTCCTCTGGAAAGCCATGCCCGCCCATTCTCTGGAGACTTCTCCATAATGTGCCACCTGCCATTGTCTGCCTCCACCTCCCCTCTGGCAGCTTGACATTTGCCTGACTTGTGATGCCCATTCTCAGTGGCTAAGACACACGCTCAGCAACAGGAGTGTGGCTTTTTTGTGCCTGTTCCTTTGTCCTTTTGTGTCTAATAAGGCTCCAGGGGTGATGGGTGGGACAGAAGAAGAGCAGCCATTGTTCTATGCAGACAGACAAGCTCTCTTACGTTTCCCTGGAGCCAGAAGCCACTTTCTGTTATGAGTTCTTACAAATGTGGCAAGAAGCAGGCTGTCGCCTCAGGGAGGGGGCAAAAGGCAAGAGGCCTCGGCCCTGAAGTGAATGAGCCACAAGGAAAGAAAGGAACTTCTGTGAAAAGAGTCCTGGCTAAGTTTCGGTCCCCTGGCCCTGGGGGCACCAAGGAGCAGGGCTGGGGAGGGGCGGGAGGGCGGGAGCCAGCAGGGGGAAGGCGGGCAGAGGTCAGCCCTGTGTGACATGACGCAGGGTGTCTCGCCTGGCTTGAAATTGAGGAACTGAGGAGGCAGCAGAAGAGAGGCAGTGTCTCGCCACAGAATGGAAGGAGACCTGCAGCCACCAGCTCTGCCTCATGCATCTCCAAGCGCTGAGGAGATTAACGACCCAAGGAGGATGTGATATGGTCCAAAAACTTTTCCTGGATTTTTTCCGTAGGCGGCTGAGCCAGAGGCCCACGGCAGAGGAATTGGAGCAGAGGAACATCCTGAAACGTAAGTGACTCAGCCCCTGGCAGTGCCGGCTGCTCTGAGTTGGCTTTGCTAGTTCCTGAGTGGTCGCCCACCAGGCTTCTCCCTGAACTACTGGGAGACAGTGGGACAAAGGTGGCCTCCCCCGGGTGAAGGCAAGTTTCACCCCACTCTGTTGTCTGCAGCCTTGCAGATGTGAGCAGAGCCTACCCTGTAATCAGGTCAGACGTCAGGAAGAAGCTGAGAAATCCCACCAACTTAGGACTAAGTGGCTTTTGAGGAGAGTGTGGGTCACCTTTGAACCAAGGTGGCTTCAAAACGCCAATAGGGTTTTGCTGGCTAGAAACGAGGGACACAGCCATTTGAAAGTGGGGATTAGAAAACACGCATTTCCGTCCCAGCTGGCTGCTGTTGATAAAATTCCTCCGCCCTTTGAAACACTGAGTTGCAGTCTGAGGCAGCAAGCCCCAGGGAAAATGCCTTGTGTCCTTCTGTGGGGGTTCACTGCCCAGTGCTGTGGACAGTCTCATTCAGGAAAATCTCACTGTCACCGAGGCCACTGGCAGGTGAATAAGTGAACCCCGTGTTTGGTCCAGGTCACAGAATGTATTTGAGTTTATATGGAGAAACCACTTGATACTAAAAAAATTAGAGTACAGATTACTGAAAAAAACCCTTTCAGTCAACAAATAATATTTTTAGTTAATTCATCACTCTTTCTCCTCCCACCCAGAAACATCCTTTTAATTTTTCTCCAAAAAAAAGAGAAGTGTGTACTACGCAGTTTTCTAGACACATTCTACACAGACGCGTACGCACACATGCTCACGCACACGTGCGCACACACACACACACCCCTGTCACGTGTGTGACCTTGTTCTGGCTGGGTATTTCCACTTCAGCCAACCAAAATGCTCCGGGTTGCAGTTTGCTAGCCTTCTTCCCTCATGACTGGGTCAGCACTGGATGGTTTGCAGGGGAGGGTATAGTGGGCACTGCAGCCAGAGGCTTCCTAAGCAGCCCCTGCGGGGCATCTACCTGCCTCTGTCCCCTACCTGGGCGTCCAGCCCTGTCCTTCCCACACACAGCCACTTCCCAAGCACTGCGTGTGGGCTGAGTTCAGGGTGAGTCTTCCTCAGTTCTCTGTGCACCTCCTTCGTCTCCTAGATCTCTAGGGGTGTGTGTGTGTGTGTGTGTGTGTGATTATGCTCATCAGTGAGAACTTCTAAAAGTTTCTAAGCAGCCTCCTGCACACTGGGAGGCTCAGGCAGGAGGATTACAAGTTCTAGCCCATCCTGGGCAACTTAATGATTTAGTGAGACCCTGTCTCAGTTTTTTAAAAAAGTGCTGTGGATGTAACTGAGTGTGAAGAGACTAGATTCAATCTCCAGTTCCAAATTAATTAATTAAGTAAATATACTGCACTATACCGTGATCCTAGAACTTTTCCAGAGATTACTGTGGGATGAGAAGCATTTGGCTGACATTATATCCCCCTTTTCACCCTCAGTCTGAGACCTGATCCATTCTAAACGTTCTGTTGTTCGGAAGAAAGGAAGACAGGTGAACCCTGATTCCTAAAATCTGAAATCAGATCGTCAGGTTCCTCCACCCACCTAACCCATGCCACACGCATAGCTCTCCTGGCTCTTTGGCCTCTGAGAATCTCTGTCCAGCGTACTCATGTGACTGCACTAGATTTGAGGGCTTCTAATCACTGCCTAAGTTCACAGAGGGCACAGACCTCTTAAGACTGTTCAGGTTTCAGTCAGATCTCAGCAGCGGTGAGATTCATGTGCAGAGAAGGTCCTAAGTAGTCAGTTCACCCTCGGTTTGCCCCAGCTGGGGAGAGCACGGGCTGCAAGACAGGTGGTTGGACTCTTCTACCTGTCTCGTAAGCCCAGAGGAGCAACCAGGTGATCTCCAATGAGTGTTCCCATGGTTTTCTTTTATTCTCTTCTGCCTTCCTTCTTGTCCTGGTCCAATAGCTGCAAATTAAAAAACTGCTTGGCCACATTCAAACAGGTTGATCATTTCCCAGCTTTGAGAGACTTTTCAGAAAAAACATGTATTTTCCATGTAGGTTCTTATTTTCCCTGCATTCTGGAACTTGGTTTTTCTAAACTAGTCTTATTTTTTTAATGTGTGTATTCGCCCACTTTGATTTGCTAAATAAGAGATGTCTAGTGGTATAAGAAAACATCCCCAATTTGTTCTAAAGCTTTTTTTTTTTTTTTGCACTAGATCTGGTGGCACAACCTGTAACCTGGGCGGGGCAGTCAAGGCAGGAGATTTGGCTGAGCAACCTAGAGACTTAGCAAACCTGCCTCAAAATAAAGCAAGTGCTAGAGTGTAGCTCAGTGTGAAGGTCTTGAGTTCAATCCCCAGGACCAAATAAATAAATGAGTAAATAAATATAAATAAATAGATCTTATTTTCTGGGCCCTAAGTCCCTGGAGGAGCTGCTGGGTCTGGAGGTTTGGAGGCTGGGGTGCCTGAGAGTGACTGGCTTCGGGTCCCACGGTGAGTGTCTAGTTTGGTTTGCAGCCCTGCACTGCCAGCCCTTCCTTTGTTCTGCAGCCGGGGAGACCCTGTGCCCATCTGAGCACATAATGAACACACCCCATGGGGGGCCCTTGTAACAGTGACATCATGAGCTGTGCCTGGATTCTTTCTCACTTGTTTAATGGGTTATCTTGGCACACTCTACTGAGAATTCTTGACACTGGGTTTGTAAAATGCCTTTGTTCTGTTTTATTTTGTCCTGTCTTGTAGTACCGGGGATTAAACCCAGGCCTTTAGCACTGAGCTATATCCCCAGCCCTTTTTTTATTTTTCATTGAAACAGGATTTTACTAAGTTACTGAGTTACCCAGTCTAGACTCCAATTCTCTATCCTCCTGCCTCAGCCTTCCAGAGTGCTGAGATTACAGACATACTGCACCACACCGGACTTTGAACTAAAGTCATGGATTCTGTAGGTGGTCCCTTGGAGCCCTACCTCTCAGAGGGACCAAGGAATCACACAGAGGAGACGGGGGCTCCAGGCTGTCTCAGCCCTGGCACAGAATGCCACTTTCAAGCTCAGAAGGGGCCTGCAGGGTCTGGAGCATGAGGTCACCAGTAATGAGAAGGTGGGCCAGGCCCCAAGCAAAACCTAACAGCAGGAAAAAGCAGAGAGCTGAACTGTTTGTCTAACTAATTAGCCGTGGAGGGAATAACTGGTTACTTAACTCCCTTGGGCTTTCACATCTGCATTTCTGAATCAAGAGTGGGGCCTAAGTGGTCTCTATAAATTTTAACCCACTGTCCTCAGAACTCACTGTCCCAAAATCCTTTCTCCCATCTGCAAACTCAGCTGTCTGGGTTTCCCTTCTTCTAGTTCTTGCTCTCTGCCTTCCAGTTGCTTCTTGGATAAATTAATTCGTACTAAGATATTAATGGCTGACCAGTTTCCTAGATGTTATGCCAGAGAAATTTGCATTTTTACAAATACCACCTTGGGTGTCTTCTTCTGGGTCTTGTTGTCTGTCTCCCAATTACCTCCGATCGATAAATTCATATCAACCTATGGATTTTTACCAAAAAGGGAAGTTTGCATTACTAAAAAAAAAAACTGGGAGAGGGGATCTTTAAACCCAAAGGAAGAAGCATTCGCAGTGGAGCTGGGGGGCCCCCTGGTCATGCCAGGATGAGATATGAGCATTTCCTGTGTTACCTTCATTCAAGGTCCTTATCCCCATCTGGATTGATCAGGGGCCTGGGATCTGCTCGGAGCTCCACCACTTGTCCTAGTGGGAAGTGTTGGCACCTTCGGGGTAATTTGCCAGTGGTCATAGCAGCAAGAGGGAAGGGCGTGAGGCTTCATCAGGTAATCCCACCCCCATTTCTGTGCACAGGAGTTTCCCTCTTATAAAGCTCTGTCCTGTCCTGGGAACTTCCGAAACCACATCTGAATTGCAAGCTTGCATCCAAAGGGCAAACTCATTAAGCTATCAAAAAGTAACTTGACAGCCATGATTACAAAATGAGGAAATAAGTGTCCTGAACAATCGTAATGCACCCTGTGCCAGGATGTGCTTGTGGCCTCCTACACCAGTGCCGTTCCAAATCCAGTGGGTGAGAATCACAGGCCTTCGGGACCCTGACTCACTGGTGTCACAGTGTTTTTCAAATTAGGTGACACTAGGTTGATATCAAAGAATCCTTACAAGGCCCAGATGGGAAATGATTTACCTAAGGTCATTCACTTAGCTAAGCCAGAGAAAGAAGCCCCAGTTCTCTGGCCCTCAAATCTCTGCTCCCTTCCCAGATCCCCTTACCTTCGGCTCTTTAAACCCCTGATGAGTAAGTCACCCACATACTGAGCTGAGGACCTGTAGGCTCTGAAGTCCACTGCTCAGACCCTTCTGATGAGTCAAAATGCAGGCAGTTGCATCCCACACTCTGGTCACACATGCGTTCTGTCAACTTCTTGGAAGATTCAAAGAAGTCTTGGAATCAGGGCTTGAGAAAGGTGAGCATTCCGGAAGTCCTGCTGGGGCAGCCAGCCTTGAGTTTGCCATGGGCCATCCCCCATTTTTTTCTGCAGAAGGTGGAGGTCGGCTTGCTCTTCTGCCTGACAGCACCCCAGGCCCCAGCCCCACATCAAAGTGAGCCCCTTCTGGGAGGCCCTGGGGTGTGAGAGAGGCCCTCATCTTGTCCACAGAAGGGAGCCTCATGGGTCCCTCAAGGCCTGTCTCTCAGTACCACTCCCACTCTTCAGACCCCACCACCTTACCTCCCATTCTCCTTTCTCAGACCAGTGTTTCTACCTGAGGGCCCAAAACCACACATAACATTCTTTTTAAAAGTAAAGGTCACCTGCTGGATGCGAACTTGAAACAGTCCAGTCAGTTGGGAGACCATCCCCACAGGCAGAAGGGTGGCCAGGGAAGGGGACTCAAGCATTCTCTCCCCCTTTTCAAGCTGAAGTCCTTGGAGTAGAGCCTGCTAAGGCTCAAAGGATGCACCTGTGTGAGACTTTGTGTATTTCACTCAAAAGCATTGTCACTATTTCTTTCAGCGCGGAATGAACAAGAGGAACAAGAGGAGAAAAGAGAGATCAAGAGGCGGTTAACTCGAAAGGTGAGAATATTCTACATGCAGGCAGCTGGGACGGGCGAGGGAGGGCTGCTTGCCACACCTTTGCCTCTGTTGGCCTCAGTGGCCTTGAAGCCACACAGGCCCGTTGGTTCCCCACCACAGGGAAGAGTTCATAGCTTCAGGTGTCAGAGTGTTTAGCTTTTTGACCCGGCAAGACTTCTCCGGGTGAACCGGTGCTCAACATAGTGTCCTGACCCTCGGTCATTTTGGCTGGTGACATTCAACCCAGCTTGATTTGTGACACCCACCAACCCTAAAACAACTTGCTGTCTGGTACATTAGATTTTCAGTTACACTAAATGTTTTGTTTTTAAAAATTCATTATAGGGATTAGAGGTGCAGCTCAGTGGTGCAGCTCGGGCTTAGCCTATTCAACAAACTGACTTCAATCCCCAGCACACAGAAAAATTATTATAACCCCATCAGGTCATCAGAAGTTCATATCAAAACAGCAACTTAAATATAACTTGTCAATTTGCGGTGATGCAGGGAAAATGTGGATTTCCTTTGCTTCCAGATACTATGCCTTACCTGTTAGTGTTTAAGAACTATTTGATTTAATTGTGTTAAATGCAGTGAGAATTACTGGATTAGGGAAATGCCAAAAGTACTGATAAAAGTAATACAGATGTTTATAAAGCACTCAAAAGTCATAAAAGCTAGAATTTTTACATATTTTAACCCAAAAATAGATGATTTAACAATGCAAGGTGGCTACACACCCATGCTACATGGGTAACCTCTTGAGCAACAAATTCTTGAATGATAGTGCAAAGTTTAATTAATTGATGCCACGAGAAATGTCATCAAGAAGACAGTGTCTTCTATCTAATGTGTTTTCCATCAACCTCTTACTGTGACCATCTTGAGAAAAAATATTCAAATCTTAAGACAGTGAAGAGACCTGTTAAATTTTAAAAGGTTTATTGGTAGATTTTTTTTTCTTAGAAGTGTCCTGCAAAGGAAGAAATTCAGCAATCTTAAAATACCGTATAAATTAGGAAATGATTTCTATTTCTCAGCATACCCTAAAAGTATTCTAAACTTCCGACAACAAGCCAAATGCCAACCCAGTTAAAAGAAGCAAGACAAGTAAGGGCCTGAAACATCAGGTGACTGGCTGCTATCACCCGGGGGACACTAAGATGAGAACTGAATGACCTTGTTTCAGCCAGTTACTCTTACCCCAGTCAGTTTCTGCCCTTCTCACCCTAAGACCATCCAGGCTTTGGACACAGGGTACAGTTATTCCTGAGACTAAATAGCGGGAGGAACAGGAGAAACGTATTCCCTTGCTCTAAGTGTGCCTTTGAAATGATGGGCACGTGAGAAAGAGACTAATGATAGCCCCACATTTCTCACACAGAGAAATCTAGACATTCAAAAAATATTTGAATCAGATTTTCATCACGTTCGTGGAGTTAATTGCTGGAGCTCACAAAGTCTCTAAAACTTCAAGGTTGCTTACTAATAATCATAGAAATTACTTAGACATATATTCAGTTCTTATCTCTTTAAAAAAATTGTATGATCTTGCTAACAGAAACCTGACTAGCTGCATAGATTTGGTAGTGGAAAAGAACAGAGTCCCTTCCTACACCCATCTCCCCTAGGGTAAGTCATGGGACACACTCTTACCCTCATAGAGCTTCTAGTTTTGGCCTGTCCCCGAGGTAAGATACTTTCCTCTTTCCCCCTTGGTTTCCCCTCCTCTCTTATTTGCTCCCAGAATAATGGCCTTGTAATCCTAGCATTTGCCCTCCCTGGGCACTGGCTTCAGGAGTTAGAAATAGTGGGTCTGAGCGCTCAATGACTGTAAGGAAAAGACTGAAGGTGGGAAGCAGCTTTCACATCTGTTTGTATCCCAGAGGTGGAGCTCCTGCCAGCAAATAGAGGCTCCATATGTGTCCTGGCTGTAGGCAAGTTCTTTTCTCTTGAGCCCTTATCACAGCAAGACTAAATGCCAGGGATGGTGGCTGCTTTTCATTTACTTACCCTCAGCCCCTAAATTTCCTCAATATTTAATTTTAATGTACTAGTGAGAAAAATAAAACCCAGTGCCTGTTGCTGATAGCAACATAGCAGACATATTTGTCAGCCAAATTGAAAATAGCCTAAAAATTACATGCTAAAATAAATGCCGATCTTCCCTCTCTAAAAAAAGAGATGATAGCTAAATAGATGGATAGATGCATACATGTAGGCATGGGGGAAAGGAAGAAAGGAAAGAAAGAAGGAAAAATGCACCAAGGGGTCAGGTTGTACAAGCAGTGTAATTTGGGCCTCGATTAATTTACTTTTTTTTTTTTAGCTTTTGTTTGCCCATGATATTGTTGCTGCCATATATTGATATAAATGCTCCCAACCACTGCCCCCGCCCTTCTTCCAGTGCATTATTCCCAGAAAACCTGACTTTGGCCTCAAAGATGATTTTCTCGGCATCAAGGAATGACCTCAGGTTGCAAGTACCCAAGGGCTGCCACTAGCCACAAGCTAAGGGTCCATCCTGTAAGCCCCATGTGGTCAGGGGGACAGGCCAACCCTCATGGAGAAGGGACCGGGCTGGTAACTCCACACTCAACCTGAGACCCCAGAGGCAGCAGTCGGGTCTGACCTGGCTCACTTACACATGGGCATGGCACCCTACTGACTTGGGGCAATGATGCCTGAGGCCCCACAGAATTCAAGCACAAGTAACTGACCCTGCCCTTCAGAGCCTACATTGAGTCTTCTGTTACCACAAGACTCTGCCATAGGCAGCCTGTTGGTACCATCCAGATCACAATTTCCAGGAAGACAAACACAAAAGTCAGAACTTAGCAACTTTTTCCAATCATTGCACACATTCAAAAGAATACTGTTTGTCCAACATCCTGGGGTCAACCCTGCTAGTCCTAGGAAAGAAAAACTGAGAATTTTGAGTAGGAGTCTGTTTATCTGAGGTAAATATGGTAAATATTTAGTGTTTTTATATCTTTGAATTATAGTGCAAACTTCCCGTGTGCCCACATTTTGGTGTCAGGATGGCCGCCATTTTGTGTACAATGACCACAGCCATAAAACCTGTGGTTTTTTTGTGACAGACCAGCACTGAGGCCAAAATGTCCTGCCCTGGGAAGCCCATGGCTACCTCAGGAGAGTCTGGAGCTGTGTAGAGGAGGAGCAACATGGAGTCTAGGCATGTAGGCAGCTCCACAGTTGCTAGGCCTCTGGTCCCTGGAACTCCCCACCATTGGCCAAGAGGGAGCTGCTGGCCTGTCCCGCTCCTGTCCTGCTCCAGTGCCCAGTAGGTAGCACCACCGGTCCACTCGATGGCAGCAGGCATTCATCTCATGCTCTTACAGGATGGCAAGGAGGTGGCACTTCCAGCACCAGCCCAGAGTGTCTGGCAGCTACACGACAGTCAGGGTGGCTTGGACTCACTCGTGTTTCTTTCTAGGCCTGAGCGCTATAAGACTCTTCTTTCTATTAATAGCATTAAATACATTCTGGGGCTGGGGAGAAAAATTGTTTTTAAACAGCACTGGTTAAGGGCCAGGGCTTTAGCTCAGTGATTCCATCACCTGCCTCGAAAGCACAAGGTCCCGAGTTCAATCCCCGCTACAAAAAAAAAAAAAAAAAAAGAATCTAATCTAAACAACACTGGTTGAACATGAATTGACAGTCTCCTAAAGGGAGCGACTGTGTCACCACGGAAGAAATAAACCCATGGCAGGAAGAGATAATAGAAATGTCAGCCTGATGTTGTTAAAGGACAGAGAAAGGATGCTTGGGGGTGGAGAGTATCGGGAGATAGCTAAATAAAGACCGCCTCATTCCTCATACTTGCAGCCAGTCCTTCACCGCAGAGCCAACCAGCGAGCCTGTCCCTATCTGCCTTAGCATGAGCATGGCCGTGGTCTGCATTCTTCTGGCCCTGAATGTGTTAGCTGATCTTACAGTTGACCTTCTTGAGGAGACCATTAGTAATGTTTGTTCTGAAAATTCATAGTACGGTTCCATCCCTGAATACCCTGGAGTTTGCATGCTCTTTGCACTTAGCTTTTTTATGTGTCTAGAACACACACATGCATGCACACATAAACATAAAATGCATTGCAAATCCACCTTGCAGAAGGCACTGAATTAGAGACATGGGTGTGGGTTCACAGAATCATCCATTAGGACAGGCACCCACAGACACAGAAAAACAAGCTTCTTGTAAAGACCCAGAAACAGAGCCATGCAGAAAGAGGCTGGCAGTCACCTCCTGTCCCAGGCCTGGAGGAATAAGAAAGCTCTGGAATCCTGAAGTTCAGTTCAGGGGTTGGGAGTGCCCTCAGGTCCCACCCCACACTGTGGGACACATCGGTTTCCCCTCTGGACCTCCTTTCCCATGGACGGAGCCTCATGTTCCAAGCTCCTCTGGTTGACTGGGCCCTCTCTGTCCCCCACTGCAGCTCAGTCAGAGGCCCACAGTGGAAGAACTCCGGGAAAGGAAGATCCTCATCCGCTTCAGTGACTACGTGGAGGTGGCTGACGCTCAGGACTATGACCGCAGGGCTGACAAGCCGTGGACCCGCCTCACTGCTGCCGACAAAGTAAGCAGAGGGGGCAAGGGGCAGGTAGGGGGTGGGATCCCGAAAGGAGAACAGCAGCAAGGACTGAGCTGCCTGCCCCTTGATGGGACACTCAGCTGGTTTCTCATAGTGCTGATGTTGCCTCGACACCTTTCCCCAGGACTCCGGGGAGCCAGCAGAGAGGTCCCTGGATAGATTCTCCTCCCTGCAGAAGGCCCAAGACAGAAAGCAGCACTGTGTCTGATTTACACAGTGGAGAAGGGGCAGTGTCTTAGCCAGTTCTCTGTTACTGGGACAGTAGCTGAGACTGGACAATGTTACAAGGAAAGAAATCAGTTTCATCTCATGGTTCTGGGAGTAGGAAGTCCAAGTCGGGCAGTACTGTCTGGTGAGGGCGTTGTGCTGCTTGCTGAGATGGCAGAAGTCCAAAAGAGAAGTAGGAGCATGCCCTAGAGAAAACACCAGGGTGGTCTTGCTTCATAACAGCCCACTGTTCTGGGACTAATCCAGTCCCTTGAGAAAGGCATGAATTCCTCCTAATAACCTAGTCACCTCTTAAAGCTCCCTCTGTCTCTCAGTGCCACTGCCCCTGGCATTAAGTTTCCACCGCATGCACTTGTGGGGGGACACAGCAGGGGAAGCTGAGCCCAGAGAGGCAGAACGGTTCTGGTCTAGGCCCAGAGCCAGTCAAGAGCACAAGGCTCTGGACCTGTCCCAGACCTTCCGTGTTCAGGTCATTGTCTTCAGTATAAAAGCTAAAAAAAAGCTTAAAATGGTTGTATTTGCCTTGCTGCCCCAAACCTCCACCATTGCCCAGAGAAGGAAAATCTTAGAAGGTTCTAAATGACATTTTGGAAGATTTGTTCCCCCTCCAAGGAAAGAATTCATTTCACCTGTTTGTGTAGCTTTGTGGAAGAAAATAATATTATTAGATGGTGAGGTAGAGGGGGTGCCCCTTTCTGCTCCCCTCCTCTGCATACTGACAGCTCTTCTTCACCCCAGGCTGCCATTCGGAAGGAGCTCAATGAGTTTAAAAGCACTGAAATGGAGGTTCACGAATTGAGTAGGCACTTAACAAGGTCAGTGTCCAGGGCAGTTGTATGTTTGTTTGTTTGTTTGTTTCCCCCTCCTTCCTGTTTCTGGGTCAAAAGTTGTTTAGTGTGTGTGTGAGGGAGAAGCAGCAAGAAGAGGGAAACACAGAGTTCCACTTTAATGCAGCTGCAACTGGGCAAGGATCACTGAGGCCTGGCTGAAAGATCCGGCAAGTGCCAGACCAAAGCGAGTTTTTATGAAAATGTAAGCTAAGGAGAAAAGATCATTGCCAATTTACAGCCCCTCAGCAGGGGTCAAACTGGGGCAAAATACCAGATCGACAGGTTCTCTTGCATTTCTCCATGTCATTCTGCACAGTGCTCCTAGGCCACATCATGTGGCAAAACAGGCACAGAGAAATGAAGGGGCTTATATAAGTTCACATGGCTAGTTAGTGACAAAGCCAAAGCCATCAAGAGCGTTCTGCTTTCTCTCTTTTTTTTTTTTTTTTTTTTTTTTTTTGGG